GCAGCCATGGAAAAAATGAGGGACTTACGGAATTATTTCATAACATTACATACCATTCTAAGTATACCATCACTTTGAATGTATTAATTTCTTTGAGTTCTTTAAATACTTTACTGGCATTACAGTGCTAAGAACCATATGCGAAATCTGGTTCACTCTGAGTAAGGGCTCTTAACAGAAAATGGCTAAAGCAAATAGGGACTTTACAAGTAGCAACACTATTTTCATAGTGTGGCCTAACAGCTCAGAGCCAGCTGATCTGTGTTCGAGTCTTGGTTCCACCATTAACTGGCTTTGTGACCCCAGGCAAGTTACTTAATCTCTGTGTCCTATTTCCTCATTTGTACAGTGGGAATAATAATAATATCTACCTCACAAGGTTGGGGTGAGGAATAAATGAGTTCTTTAATATACATAAAGTGCTCCAAACAGTGCCTGGCTCATAATTAGTACTCAATACACATCGGCTACTGTTTTTATTTATTTATTTATTAAATAATCTATCCCAAAGAACACCCTGGGTTTTAGCAATTAAAATTTCATCAGTTTAAATGAGTATGAATATATATAAATACATACTACCTCCTTCTTATCTATCTATATTCTTCTCTAAGGAGGATTAAAAAAAACCCTGAACATGGGCTGGCTGGTTAGCTCACTCGGTTAGAGCACAGTGTTACAAAAAAAAACCTGGAACAGCTTAAAGAAACAGTAATTTCTGGCTTGATGATGGAAATGTAGAACAATATAAATTTATTAACTGCTGTTCTTATTAAGGGCTACTCTGTCATACAATTGTTGAAAATGTGCAAACNAAAAAAAAAAAGAACAAAGTTAACATCTCAACAATCTTGATTATTGATGAAAACTTCTAACTGGTAACTATTATATGGGCCATGGTAACTGGGGCTTACAAAAGGGGAAAATGAGAGGAAAACCATCCACGCTAATAAGAATTTTCTTCTTCATATTAAATTTTACTCAGTGGGCAACAGAGCTAAAAGATGTAAACTATATCAAGTTATAAACAATATCTGTCAGAGTTATTCCTATTCGTATAACCTACCAGGTCGGGTTTTCCAGAGTTTGGTCAGGCCAGACAGCAAGTTACCATCCCTGTCTATGCTACTTCCTCTCTTCCTGTATGTCTCTTAATAATGAAACCCTGCTTTAAAGACCTAGGTTTAAACATGGCAGCGGGAAGGGAGTGAGCCGCCCACGCCCGGCGCTGGCAGGATCCCAGAGGCCACCAGCAAGAAGAGGAACTCAGAAAGCCTGATGGTGA